AGTTGGCTCCCTGTGCCGCGTCAGGAATTTTTTCTCCCCGGAATCGATCCTTCAGATATACAAATTGCTGCCATATATGGTCTGGAGCCCCTTCTGTTTGCCTCGGGGTTCTTGATAAGCTCCAGAGGCGGATATGTAATATAATTGGCCCTGTTCTGGCACCTCGTCTACAGTCGCTCTCTCACAGGCGTGCCGTCGCCACTCTCTGTCTTTTTTACAAATACTTTCATGGTCATTGTTCCGAGGAGCTGCATTCGCTGGTTTCCAGACTTCATGAATTCAAGCGCCCTACGAGGCTGGCATCCAGCTCTCACCCTTTCACTGTCGAAACTATTAAATGTAGTCGTCTTTTCTACTCCAATAGCTTCATATCTCGAACCTCTCGCCTGTGGAACTCCCTTCCCTATTCCAGTTTTCCTGACAGCTATAATCTTCAACTATTCAAATGTAATGTCAATCGACATTTCCAGTTACCTTGATCTATCCACTATCTTCTCCTTATCCTTTTCTCTATCACTCCGATCTGATCTTGCTCCAAATCTTCTGTAACCCCTTGTGTCCTAGTAGCTTCCCGCCTTGCTTGGGGTGAAACGCTTAAAAAAAATTGTAGGTAAATTAATCAAAAAAATGGAGATTTATCACCCTGGTTTTTCATCATAAGTTTCTCTGTTTCCATGATGTAGATGTAATTTCCAAGTGTCGTAATAAGTGAATGTGATTGATAAACAATCAAAACATAATTTTACAGCAAAGATTTATTTATTTAATTTATTGATCATTTCGCACCAAGCAAGCCAATAAAGTCACTAAGGCGCAAAGTAATGACTGAATGTTAGAAAATATAATGAAAAACACTATTAAAGAGAGAGAAGAATTAAAAGATAGGAATTAATAAGATAAAAGATAACGATTGACATGATTGATCACATTTAAGCAACAAGTAATTAGCCGGAAGAGATATCTATAAAAATTCAGTGCGGGAAAAGAACCGTATTATCATCGAACTTACGATTATAATGTTACCTGTAAATTGAGACCTTGCCGCCAATCTAGTACTGCGATTAAATCCATAATATCTAGGTATTAAGCACTATAGGGTAAAGACACTCTCATGCACACACACACACACACACACACACATATATATATATATATATATATATATATATATATATATATATTTGGATTGATGTGGGTTTTGACCCTTGGTTTCACGCTATTTGTGATCGTCAGCTTTATCACTGATATTGAGTGCTTTCCAATAAGTACCCTTGCATATATAATATATCAGTAATTTATATAAATAATTGTATATATAAGGAAGTATCTCTTTGAGAATATATATTGCATGTATAATTGCATATATATATATATATATATATATATATATATATATATATATATATATATATATATATATATACATATATATATATATATATTGCATTATATATATGCAATATATATATATATATATATATATATATATATATTTATATGAAATTATATATGCAATATATATTCTCAAAGAGAACCTTCCCTATTCATAAGCACTTAGACTCTGAAGGATATGTTTCAGCAATGAAGAACTAAATAAACACATTCAAAACTTGGAGCATCAATTCACAACACGTGGCTATAAACAACATCTCTTCAGGGGACAAATAAATAAAGCAATTTCCACACCTACAGAAAACACCCTAAGATTAAAAATAAACCCAACCGCATCCCTCTAGTAATCACTTTCAATCCCACTCTGCCTCCACTATCCCAAATAATCAAAAGTCGCTGGGAAATACTACATCTCAAACCAGACCTAAAAAAACTGTTTAAGGAACCCGGCCTTCTTGAATATCGTGGACCTAAGAACCTAAAGGAAATCATAGGTAGTAACCACATTTCAGGTGACAAGGTAATTCGTAATAAACCAAAAACAAAATCAACAGGATTTTCCCAACTATGCAACAACAAAAGGAGCTTATGCTGCAACCACATTAGACACACGAATTCATTCACTAGCTTAGTTACTAAATCTACTTTCAAAATTTACCACGGCTCTAACTGTAGAAAAAAACATAATTTACCTCCTAGAATGCACACTATGCCAGAAACAATATGAAGGAAAATCTGAATGGCCCTTTCACTACAGAATAAATAATTATTGCAATCGAATTAAGTCGACTCCGCATGAAAGATTATTACCTGTAGAAAATTTCCGCCTACAAAACACGATTTTAAAACCCAAGCCAAATTCACTATAATTAAGAGAATAGAGAATTTCAGAGTAGATAACATTAGAAAATATTTAGAGTGTCTTGAAAATAAGTGGAATCGGCGTTAAAAAATGCACTAACCTGACGGGTTTAGTCACAAATTTATCAATATAGATAGTATTAATATATAACCCCACAAATCAGGACATACCCACATTTTTCATTTCAAGACAGACAAGCTTACGGAGGTGTTGAGGCCTCACACTTTTACACACATGCACATGAATTTACACACTTACACATATCATACTTACTCACTCCCTAATGAGCCAAATGATAGCACACGACCATAGTAATATACACACTTACATGCTCATGCTCATTCACTCCTTAGGAATCAAAAGCACACAATTAACAGAGATATATCCCCTTTCCAGAGCAGCATGAATCCATCCAGCTCTTATCTTAAATAACAACTTATTCATGTTAAAAAAATAAAAAAACAAAAAACAAATGAAAACTAAAGATAAAAGTTCATTTTCTCCATCAAGACATTTATTTCTCTAGTTCACTGCTACCAACAAGCAGAAAATTATTTTTCTCCTGATGATGGCCATGTTGGCCGAAACTAGTCGAAAAATCTAAATGAAATAATAGAAACGAAATAATATTAATATACAACCCACTGTGTCTGAAGATTTTAATGTTTTCATATTTTTTATTGTTCAAAGCACACACACACACACATATATATATATATATATATACAAACACATATTATATATATATATATATATATATACGTTATATATATATATACAAACACGTTATATATATATATATATATATACAAACACATGTTATATATATATATATATATATTCATACAAACACGTCATATATATATATATAAATATAAATTTAATGAACTGGGAAAGTGGCCGAGTGGTTAGAACGTTTGTTTTCCAATAATGAGGTACGAGGTCGAATTTTAATTTATCATGAAGGTGTCTTCTTCATTTTATTATTCTGGGCATGCTATACCAGCGTACTACTGTACTGATGCGGCATTTCACCTGGGTGATTAAGCCGGCTTCTTCCTGTTATGAGAAGAAGATTCTTGTGATAAATTACAGAAGTAGGGTACCCAGGCCAACTCGGATAACGTTCTTGCTTGCCGCGGGATTCCCACAGACGAAGAGACAGGAACGACCAGAAGCCGCCGGTTACCGATGCAGACGCTCCTTGGATTTTCACCAGAGCCCTTGTTAGCCGGCGTGTGTGTCAGACCTGTCCGCCTTAGGTGGCCCTACCAGGAACGAAGTTCCGGGCGGCATAGCTCTGACACTACCGTTTACACACACCCCCACCGACTGTGAGGTAAGGGTTGGACTTTGGGGGCTTACAGTACCAGGTGTTCCCAAGCGGTCCCCCATCTAAGTACTGACCTGGCTCTACGATGCTTAACTTCGGTGATCGTACGAGAACCGGTGTTTCAGCGTGATTTGACCGTAAGCTATACCCGCGTGCGACAACTTTGTAAAGAGTGTGAAAACAAAGTTACTGGTTGACCCAAGCCTTATGATAGAAATTGGGTGGAAGGCGTTGGTTTTGCTCGCTCGAAGTCCCAAATATAATCTTCTTTAAAAAATTTTGACGAAAGAACGAGATGTGAGAAAAGTGGATAAAAATAGTTAAGAAAGATCAGTCTTCGGAACCGACTATATAAAAGAAGATATCCTAAACTTAATCAAAACAATTTCTAAAGGAATAATGGAGTTTTTATTCATTAATCCAAAACACTATCACTTTAAATGCTATTTTTAATGGATAGCCATATATGAGCAGACGATACATTTCTTTTAAATAGTATATTTATTTCCTTTTACCGGCCTGAACATTCTTCTTAAGGTAAAGATTTAAGGAAGGCAGTTGTTCGATGAGCGGCAAGATTAATACATAACAAGGGCAGTTAATGCCAATATGTGGGAAGGATAACGGTTAAGTCGAGAGTTGAATTGGTTAAGATTGTAGTAGTCGGGAAGGCATCCTCTCAGGTGTTTCTTCTATTAAGTAGTAGTTCTTGGGGTGTAACTTTCTATTTAATATACGTGAAATATTATCAAGTTGTCTGGAGACTGGAATCACATGAGTACGTATTGTCGGTAATCTTAATCGTGTTGTATTGTGTTAACAATATGTCGAGGGTTGTTCTCAGGTTTAGTTTGTAGTTTATCAAAAAAGTGACACGTGCAAACAAAAAGGCACACCATACCCACTTCAAAATGGACATTTTAGACATTTGATAAATTTGATGCATTTTTGTCGCCATCTGCTAGCAATGAAAGCAAAAAAATAAAATGGAGGAAAAGTTGGCAAACAAACGGGGTAGATTTTGCCAGCTTCTTAAGAAAAAGTTTAGTCATACCAAAAAACAAAGACGAAAACAGATGATGGAGCTTTGAAATGAAACGTGCATGACACCAAAAAAATGTGGGTAGGAGTATTTTTTTAAATAGTCGAAATTTTTATTGCGCCAAATTTTCTTCTTTTTTCCCATGATAAATCTTCAAAGAATGGAGGTAATTTTAATAGCTCTACGCCCAACATAACTTTGTCATTGTTGAAACCATACTTAGGATGGGCTAGCAAATAATATATAATTCGCTTCTAGTATTTTGTTTTTATATTCACTAATTAATAAGATTTATGAGTGAAGGCTATCCGTATATGAGGAGGTGATATTGCAAATATTTATGTTATTTATTTTAACGCATAAAAAGTTTACGGCCAATCAAGTTGTAACATCAGTTCCCGTACTATCACCGAATTTAAGCAACGTCGAGCTGGGTCAGTACCAAGATGAGTAACTGCTTGGCAATACCAGGTGTTGTAAGCTAGGAAGTGCGGGTGGTGTACTGGAAAATGGCTCGAAAATGTCAATCCTAGAGCCGAGATCAATTTGAGTTCGTTATAAATATTTAAACGCAAATAGTCTCGGGAATGTATCTACTCATAGCTTTGGGTTAAATAGTAAAATTTGTATCATTAAAGACATTACTATCTCAAAAAAATTGTATAAAACGTTTAAATTTCGGCATTACATAACTCATAACGGTGGATATGCCGCTAAAAAAAACAAGGGAATCTTAAAATCGGGGAAAATATGCATCAGAGTGCACGACAAAAAAGACAAAATTAATTCTTGAAGTCTGTTTTTATTTTTAATTGCATAATGGTTCACTAAAACTTGCGAATGAGTGTTGCTATTTTCTTAGATAATCTGTTGAGAAAGAGATTACCCAACACAATTAAATATATATTTCGGGGAATTAAAAATAAACACCAACAGTTTGGTTGGTAGCTAGAAAGTTTTATGAGAGATTGACTATTAAAACTTTTTTCCAGACAACACAAACTATAACCGATTAAATGCTAAGTAAATTGTCTACAATAAATAATAGTTAGCTAAATAATAAACAAATGTCAACAATCGATCATGTCAGGTTACTATTTAAAAACTAAATGCGCATGAAGATTCGCTTTCCTGTCATGAGACCCGGGTTCGAATCTCACTATCGTCGATTTGTCGGAAGGTGAGTTCTTGATGTTATTAGCCTGTTCAGTCGACTCCAGCTTGCGGCACCTCTGGAAACAACCGGAAACACATGCCACTGGTTGACAAAATTCTTGTGAATGAAATTGTGTAGCGGCAACCATTTGGGAGCCGTCGATGATTGAACTAGCAACAAGTCGCAAGTCATCGTGACCGAACTATAAGCGTACTGGCCTTGTTCAGACTGTTGATCCCGTCAGATAAAGCACTCTCTCCCAAAAACTCTAAGGATCGCTCAACATAGTTGCAGGTAGGCTCTGTTGGTGTGGAACAAACACAAATACGCCTGAGAAAGCGTCAGTAACAGGAACTGATTGCCAACCTACAAGACAGACATATTCGGATACAAGCGGCCAGTCTGTACATTACACATGGGGAAGTAAAAAAAAATGGATGAAATTTCTAAAATTAACACCATGTAATTAATATGGATTTCTCAATTTGCCTCTTGAGAGTGTAAAGAATAAAATATTATTCCAAACTAAAATACTGATCAATGTCGCTTTGCATCATTATTAAGAAATTTAGCATTTATTTTAACAGATTTCTCAGCTGCCCCATGTTTGGTAATGAAGTATACATATGTATTTATAATTTTATACATTTTGAAAGATTAATTTTTGTTTTTCCTTGCTTCATTTTTATTTGACATATTTTTTGAAACAGGAATTAAACAACTGGAATTACATATAAATTCTTGTTGCTTCATCGCTTAATACCAGCCTAAGTCCTGGTTTCAGAAACTGTTGACAGCTTGAAAGAGTTTTACTGCCTCTCCTTCTGCTACTTTAGGTTTTATTTGTTCCTTACTTTTCTGTTCATTATAGCAAGGAAAGCGAATAGAAAGTATAAAGCATCAATTGTAAAAGGAAAGTAGAAACGGGCGCTTAACAAGAGGAAGAGCACAGAATGAAGGCGCATCAATTTACCTATCTGAGACATGACAACAGATTATGCAACAAAGAAATCCGTAGGGGCATTAGAATCGAAAAATAATCGCAAAAAAATATTAAGAAACAGGAAACAAGTCTTTGCATTCATTTCACACTAATTTTATTGTGAAAGGCATGAACCCATTCATGTCATAATTTCCTCTTTAGTCTTGGAAGAACAACTAGTCTATAAGAAAACCACTGAATTCAAACACTTACAAGAATGCCATGGGCTATCGTGATTGGGCAATACCTATTACTTCCCATGCAACACAGACTAAGGAAGACATATGTCCTCTAGAGAACTGAAAAAACTTGATTGATTATGTCTTTGTTTTTTTAGGGATTATCAACCGTTGGCAGGTTATTTATTAATTATAAATAATTTTAAATTGTAAAAAGGATTTGGAAATAATAATGCTGTACTGAGTCTTCGTAAATTAACTCATAACTTGGCGGTTTCCTGAGTTCAAGAGATGGGTTCATACTTTTCCCAAGGTTATTTGCTCGTAAGGAAATATAACGAACATGACTGGAATTGTAAATCGGGGACCTGAGTTTCAATTCCGAGTCGTTATCCATTACTCAACCGGACATCAAAATTAATATATATATATATATATATATATATATATATATATATATATATATATATATATATATATATATATATATATATATACGAGGGTCATTCAATAAATAAGGTGAATTTTTTCGGTATAGGACTTCTAATACAGATAGAAGCTTACGTTTTTTATTTTTTTCATTTTTGTTTTACTTCTTTTTCACATGGATTTAATTTCTTTTGCAGATTAAAAAAAACTTTGAGAGTTTTGGCAATTAACAAAGATGGCCGACCAAGAAGCATGCTCCAGGATTGAACAGCGGTCAGTTATCAAGTTTTTGGTTGCTGAAGGGTGCAAACCAGTGGAAATTCATAGGGGAATGTGAACTGTGTATGGTGCTACATGTTTCAGCCAGCCAAAAAATGTCTACAATTGGGCTAAATTGTTTAAAGAAGGACGGAGCAGTGTTGAGGATGAAGACAGGTCTGGGAGGCCTACAGCAGTGAGAGGTGATCGAATCAGTCAATGCCCTCATTCAGTCTGAGAGAAGAATTACTGTGAACGGCTGAGGTAGGTCAAGAAAGACATAAAGAACAAACGCAGGGGTCATCAGTCGGAAGGAGTGTGACGTCACCCCGGCCTCTCTGCGCTCGTTTGTTATCCGGAGACGACCAATGTGACTTCGTATTAGTCGCGGCACCAAATGTGACGTCATCCTGCTGTCACGGCACCAAATGTGACGTTCTAAACTTTCGCTGATTCGGATGGGAATCTGGTTAGATTCGGTATCAGCTTTGTCGTTCCCAGCTCGCCCCCAACGTCTGGTTACCGAAGTAACTGTTTTGATTTCTAGTCTAACCTAACCACGTTGTGATTTGATCTTAGGTAGACGAAATCAATCAGTCGCCGGGCCGGAATGCAAGCCGAGTCCGAGCAAAGGTAACACCGCACAAGTATATGTAAAAGAAAATAAAGTAACAATTCGACAAGTTCAAATGTGTTAAAAAAAGTATAACAAATATTTTTATATCTGATGGCTGAATACAGGACTGCGTCTTTCTCCCAAACCGCTTCTATGGATTCGTGATACTTTGTGTTTGTTAGGCGAGTCTTTTTTTTCGATAACTGTTTTTATTTTTATTATTTTTTTTTTTTTGTATCTTCAGGCGATATTCGTAAAACTTGTTTTGGTGGTGTGAGTGTAAGTCGTTTTTCAAAAATAAATTGTTCTTGCTTAGAAGTCGAAATCGGGATGCGTGGAACTTCAGTCAGCTTCCTGCGAGGCTGGTCTCAGAGCTCACAGCTCAACTCTGTCTGCGTCTGCGTCTCTCTCTCTCCAACTGCAACTGCAACTACTTACTGCCGTCTACTCGCTGCGACTCTGTTTATAAGGACGCCGACTAAAACCGGGTGTTGGCCTGTCGCAGCTTGGGATTCTTTGATAATTCTAAATCCACAATAAGGATTTTCTTTGTTTTCCGACAGGAAAATTTATCACTTTCCATTTTTGGAAGTCTATTACTTTTTGCTTTAGAAGGGTTCTTAAGGGTATCTTTCTCCCAAATTCTTCCTTTCTCATATTGGTATCTCACACCAATCCTTTCAGCGGGTGTCAACAGGTTTCCCTTCTTTCTCATAGTGGTATCTCACACCAATCCCCTCAGAGGCGTCAACAGGCCTCCCCTCCTTCTCCTATGTTTACCATTATCGCTCAAAGGAAAAAAATTATCTTCTTTTTTTTCTTTTCTTACTCTTCTTCAAGCAGACCTCCCACGATTCGTAGTGTGGTCCTTAATCTCTATCTTAACCGAATGTCGTCTGGAATGGTCAAGTGAATCTCTTTGTCTTCTCAATGCCTACGTACTTCCGTCGCCACAATCTGTCCAGGCAACAACTCTTATCATGGCTAAGTCTGAACATAAAACAGGTGTTTTTCCCAAAGCGAAATGATATCTCCGAAAGATAGTTAATGGTTTATTCTTCCCTTTTCCTTGGGAGACCCAGCTGACGTTTTTCTCGGTCAGTACGTGACCTGATTAACATTATCTCCCAGCTTATGTTTCGTAGGCCACTTGACCAATTTGAAATTTTCATTATTGCCATGGGCAGATGGCTATCTTTTATTCGCCGCCTCGTAGCATAAATTAATTCGACAGATCCGAGATCTTACGAATTTCCTATTTTCTGCGAAAAAAAATAATTTTCTTCGCAAATGAAAATAAAACCTTTACCACTTTTCTTTGTTAAGAAAATATAACATCGTTCAGTATGTCTTTTCCTGATAGCTTCTCATCGCCTTAATTATTTCTCGCTTTTAATTTTTCCCGCGACCACTAAATAGTGTCACAGGAGTCATCTTGCCTCATGACAACGCAAGGCCTCACACAGCAGGCCAAACGGTGCAGACCATCAACGAGCTGGGCTGGGAACTTCTCCCTCATCCCCCTTACAGCCCAGACCTTGCCCCTTCAGACTTTCAGCTGTTTGGTCCCTTGAAAGCGTTTACGAGAGGCACGAAGTTTAAAAGTTACGATGAAGTCAAAAGTGTTGTGAGCGACTGGCTGAGACATCAGACCAAAGATTTTTACGCTGAGGGAATACGGAAGCTTGTGCACAGATGGGAAAAGTGTGTGACAGTGCTGGGAGACTACATTGAAAAATTAAAAAAAAGTAAGCTTCTATCTTTATTAGAAGTCCTTATACCGAAAAAATTCACCTTATTTATTGAATAACCCTCGTATATATATATATATATATATATATATATATATATATATATATAT